CTCACCTACCTACTCACCCACACACACAACACACACTCACAACACCTACCCACACACTCACACACCTATCCACACACCCGAAATAAGCTTAAAAAAAAAGAAAAAAGAAAAAAAAAGAAATCCATCCCCGAGTTCTTACAGCCCCCTCCAGGCAACGGAAGCCAGGCATCATTCGGCTGTTAGCAGGAGCTTGAGAACGGGCGACGGGAAGGAGGGAGGGGGGGTGGGGAATGGAACGAGGGACGTGCGGAGGGAATGATGATGATGAACCGCGCGCCATGTCATCCATCTCCATCGCTAATGCACAAAACCTTATAACGAAGGCGTCCGGGAAATTCGGTGACGGCTTCATTTCCAACGACATGCCAAGACGGCTTCTTCAAAGACGTGGGTGGGAGAAAGGTAGAAGGGGGGAAAAAATTGAAATGAAGGGAGAAAAGATGTATGAAGGAATCAAAGAAGTGTGATAGGAAGGAGTAATGAAGGAATGAAAGAAGAAAGAAAGGGAGAAAAAAAAATATGGGAAGAAAGAAAAATAAATGGAAAACAAGAAAAAAGTGGAAAGAAAGAAAATTAAATGGAAATAAATAAAAGGAAATTGAAAATGGAAATAAATAAATAAAGAAATGGAAACAAAAAGAAATGGAATGAAAGAAATAGAAATTGAAAAATAGAAAAAGAAATGGGAAAAAATAGAATGAAAGAACAAGAAAGAATGCAAGAGAGAAAGAAATAGAAAGAAAGAAAGGGAGAAACGTGCCCGGATGTTGGATATAATTACTCCATCAGTAGACATTTTCTATCAAGGGGAACAAGGATCAATTTGCCGTTTCGAAGTAATGGCGACATAATAACATTAGCTACGTGATCAGATGAATGTTAGATATAACTTGATTGCCTATAATCATCGCACCAAGCCTTTACAAATATAAAATGAGAAATAACTTGCATTATCTCTTGGATTTTAAATAGAGAAATATGAGCAATTACTTGAAATGTTATTATCGCCGAGTTCTATACGTAAAATGTGATGAATCATGAATGTCGGTCGTAGCAAATATAATAACGAAATAAAAAATAAAAATGTATAAATATCTACTGGTATTCTAACGAAATTACAGCAAAGTAATGCAATCATAAATATATTTAAAAAAAAACACATGCGGTAAAAAAATACAAAAATCAAGATAAATAATAAATATAACTGATGATGGTGGTGATGGTGATGATGATGATGAAGATTATGATTTTGGCGCGATGGTGATGACAATAACATACGTCCTTCGAAAAAGAAATCGATGTCCTTAATGGTAGCGAAAGAAAGAAAGAAAAAAAAACAAAAGAAAAAAAAACATCAACGTACAACGAATAAGAATAAGAATAATAAATAAATAAAATAATTAAAAATAATAATAATAAACCGAGGAAAAGAAAGAGAGGAAAGCAACTCACTCACCTGGTAGAGTGGGCGGTGCTGGGGCGTGAAGGAGGCGTGTTCTGAATCCGCAACGTCCTCATCAGCCTCCCAAAGAGTCGAGGTGGGCTCGCTCTCCTCACACTCTGTCGGATCGAAACGTTTGCTAAAGGACGCACACTGACTCCCGAGGAATTAAGAAAGGGAAGAGAAAGGCGGAGAGAATGAGAGGGAGGGAGGACGGAGGAGGGAGAGAAGAGGGAGGGAGGACGGAGGAGGAGAGAGGGAGGAAGGAAGAGGGGGGCCGGGAGGAGGGAAGAGGGAGGGAGGATGGAGGAGGAGGAGGAGAAGGTAGGGAGGGAGGGAGGATGGAGGGAAGAGGGAGGGAGGCGGAGAAAGGGGGTAGGAGTGGGAATGGAGAGAAGCGAAATGGCAAGTGTGTACATGTCAGAAAAAATCCATATGTATGTATGCTTGTATGTATGTATCTATACGTATAAGTACATTCATTTACATGAGTATATCTATCTATCTATCTATCTATCTATCTATCTATCTATCTATCTATCTATCTATCTATCTATCTATCTATCTATCTATCTATCTATCTATCTATCTATCTATCTATCCATACATACATACATACATACATACATACATACATACATACATACATACATACATACATACATACATACATACATACATACATACATACATACATACATACATACATACATACATGCATGCGTGCGTGTGTGTGTGTGTGTGTGTGTGTGTGTGTGTGTGTGTGTGTGTGTGTGTGTGTGTGTGTGTGTGTGTGTGTGTGTGTGTGTGTGTGTGTGTGTGTGTGTATTGCATATAAGACACATATATAGCCAATGCCTGGCTAATAATTCCCTTTCAGTTTATTGCTACCTGTTTGCTGCGATAGATACTTTCAAGTAAAAAATAGAGATTGTCAGAATCGCGTCTCGCACACATGGACGTCTTTCCCCCATAACTTTGCACCTGTGCTAGAATAATCAAAAGAGTTGACTCAACCAGGGAGGAGAAACCCATTCTTGGCGGAATTCGCGATAACCTTCCGTACCATACACCCTTGCTCAAAGCTTCCGAAATAGGAAATAGAGCTATTGGACCACTGACAAATAATCCCTAAGCAATAGAAAACACAATAGGGCACAGACAAACACGAAGGAACTGCCTCGTAGATACAGCGACAAGCCCTTACTTTGCCTTACAAGGAAGAGGGCCCCCGGGCAGCCCAGCTCCTTGAAATACCTTATACCCTTCGTCGTCGCCCCGCTGTTTCGCAAATGTGTGATCAAATGACGGTCCCCAACCTCTTCCTCGCAAGATTCTAGTTTGCGAATTCGGATTTCGCAGCTGTTCTGACTACGCCGTGGCTGTCTAAGAGCGACTCACAGAATCACAATTAGTCATTCTATTAGAGAAAAACTAACAGCAGTGACAGGGTGTGGCCGCCCCTTCGTCCCCACTGTGACCAGCAATTGCAACCTGCAAGTCACTAGTTTACAACCCGGAGATAATCATCAATGTCCCCGGACTGAATCATCCCTGGAGATTACATCGCTCTGGCGCCGAGGAAAGAGAGAGAGGAAGAGAGAAACAGATAGAGAGAAAAATGGTGAGTGGGAGAGTAAAAGAGAGAGAGAGAGAGAGTAAAATAGAGAGAGAGAGAGAGTAAAATAGAGAGAGAGAGAGAGTAAAAGAGAGAGAGAGAGAGAGAGTAAAATAGAGAGAGAGAGAGAGTAAAATAGAGAGAGAGAGAGAGTAAAATAGAGAGAGAGAGAGAGAGAGAGAGAGAGAGAGAGAGAGAGAGAGAGAGAGAGAGAGAGAGAGAGAGAGAGAGAGAGAGAGAGAGAGAGAGAGAGAGAGAGGGAGAGAGAGAGAGTAAAATAGAAAGAGAGAGAGAGAGAAAGTAAAATAGAGAGGAGAGAGAGAAAGTAAAATAGAGAGAGAGAGAAAAGAGTAGAGAGAGGGAGTAGGAAATAGAGAGAGAGAAAGAGAGAGAGAGGATACTAGAGAGAGAGAGAGAAACAGAGAAGGAGAGAGAGAGAGAAGAGAGGGAGAGATAGATAAGAGAGAGGAGAGAGAATAGATAAAGAGAGGAAAGAGAGATAGAGAGAGGAAGAGAGACAGAGAAACAGAGAGAGAGGTAAATAAAGAGAGGGGGAGGAAAAGAGATAAATACAGAAAAAGGAAGAGAGAAATAGAGAGAGGAAGAGAGAAATAGAGAGGGAAAGAGAAAGGGCAAGAGGGAGAGAGAAAGGGTGAGTGGGAGAGAGAGAAATAGAGAGTGGAGATTATAGAGAGAGAAAGAGAGGGAGAGAGTAAAATAGAGAAGGGGGAGATGAAACTGAGGAAAAACAAATCTAAAAAGGTAAATAGAGAGAGGGACAGAAAATTAGAGAAAGAAAACGTGAAAGAAATATGTACACAGAGTGAGAAAAATAGAAATAATAAAGGAAGAGAAAAGAGAAGAGAAAAGAAGAGAAGGAGATGAAATGAAGAGAGAGAGGAAACAAAAAAGAGAAGAAGGAAAAAAAAAGAGAGAGAGAATATGAAAAAAACATGGGAGTATACAGACAGGCAAGCAAACAGACAAAAAAGAAAAAAATCACTCACACAACGGACCACAGCTAGATCTCAAAGGATTCCCCACAGCATAGCAAAACCACTTCTCTCTTTGCCACGGGTCAGGAATCCGCTACTCGTAATTCCTATTTCGACAAGTCATTTCTTATTTGTTGAATAGCGAGGCTGACTATAAATAGAAGGTACGTCTATAAGAGGATACCGACCAAGGCTTTCTATGTAGGAGAACAACTCAAGAGCATTATTGTAAGAAGAATATGTGGCGGCAAAATAAAAAATGCTTGAGTATGGCGTAAGACCTTTTTCTGGTATTTTTAACTCCAATTATATAATGTGATATGTGTATTCTCCTACCCTATTGTAAATCGTAAATTTCTTTATTTATTTTATTTCCTCCCTGAATTGCTGTCATCTACTCTATCCTTCTAATCTTCCTCTATATATCTTTGTTTAATCATTCATCATCATCATTATTATTTACATTTGAGGAATTACACTCAACTTAGCGGGTGTGTTGGGGGGGAGGGAGGGAGGGAGGGGGAGAGAGAGAGAGAGAGAGAGAGAGAGAGAGAGAGAGAGAGAGAGAGAGAGAGAGAGAGAGAGAGAGAGAGAGAGAGAGAGAGAGAGAGAGAGAGAGAGAGAGAGAGAGAGGAGAGAGAGTGAGAGAGAGTGAGAGAGGAGAGAGAGAGAGAGAGAGAGAGAGAGAGAGAGAGAGAGAGAGAGAGAGAGAGAGAGAGAGAGAGAGAGAGAGAGAGAGAGAGAGAGACAGAGAGAGAATTTAAAAATTCTTATTACCCGAGGTCACAGTCTCAGTACCATCATTCTCAAAATTCCCTGCAGAACGAAGTGTCTCGCGGAAGGCACTGAAGTCCTGAGCGTTCCCAGGTCCCCTTCAGTACCGCATACCTTAGAGCCTTCTTCCTAAATCGTATCCCAGCACAACACAACCCCCATTTTTACCCCGCAGAATTACCCCTTAGTCGCCCATAACGGGACACTTACATACGCCAGAAAGGGTCTTATTGGTGGTTAATTCCGCTTCCGAACAGAGGCAGAACGAAGAAGGATAAAAGTCCCTCTCAAAAATCCTGGATGGCAAATGGATTGAAAAAACAGATTACCAATTTTTATTGTCAGCAGTATAGGTCTACATAATCGAATATAATTTTGATATTTTTTCTTGAACTTTCCTCCTGAGAATTAGATTCAAATAATAATTGCTGAAGACGAATCCTACCGCATTACAATAAACCGTATATCAATATAATTAAAATCAAGCAAATATTCATCAAGACCTTGTGATAAGGTAACAAAATGGGTCAAGGAATTTCACTCTGATGCATTCTGTCTCCATAATGAAATATAAATAGTTGCACGTTCAGGTAATTTCTTTTCATTTTTTCACAAAAAGTCTGCCAAGCGAGCGAGCAAGCCGAACCCCGAGTGTCCGAGATTCCATATGCAGAAAATGTACACCTCTTTGCGCCTGTAAATGCCAGAGGAGAGAATAAAAGAAAAGGAATGGATATAAATGGCCAATAGCGCCCCATTGCCTTTTAGAACATGATGCAAATTTTAAATGATTTACCAATAAATACAAAAGACGAAAAAATAACAGGCTGTCGGCTTGTATTGCTCGTTTCAATGAAAGATCCATATTGAACTCTGAGTACCAGTTCTTACTATGCTATAAGTTAAATGCATAGCAGAATAATACGTTCCTTTCGTAAGATTAAAAAGATGCAAAAAAATACGATGCAGAATTGACAACGTACACTTCTTGGAATATTGATTTGCGAAAAGTAAGCTCTGCACGTTAAAGTAATATCAACAATACGTCTCATTATGCGAACGTAAAAGCCGGTATTGTAGAAGTGACCTCAAAATTTGATGTAATCTATTTATTTTTGTATACTTCTTTATTTTTATCTCATTTCATCTTTTCTGTACGATAGTCAAGACCTGCCAGACCATTCTTTGCCATCACGGTTTGATAACTGCCATTACGAATCGCAAAACGCACATGCTTAGCATGGTAATTGGGCAAATTTGCATATTCAACCCCATTCTGGACCTCCCGCACATTATTTTCGCTCGAGAGCAAGATTCCCGAGAACAAAACAATAAAATGACTTCCGACACATAATGTTCCATGCATAATGAAGTCGAGATGCGAAACGGTGCACAGCAACGTACGGTGCATGACACGAAGTATTGCAGCAGCACAAGTATAGACTACCAGAGTGAGGCTTTGGAAATGATCAGTGAAAAAGTATAACATCGACAATATATATGATTAATTATAGTGCATAGAAAGATACAGTACCAGTAGCACATGGCGAGAAGAACTATGGCACCGACAAAGCCTTGCAAAATTGTTAAGTGGGCCGGTCAGTGTGATAAAGTTTTGCGATGGCAACCAGATCCAAATGGCAACCATCATGACACAAAATCAAGTGAATGTGTAAGTGCACGTGCATGAAGGAATACACTGAGGCGTGTAATATCAAGTGTAAAGGTTGAACATGGTTAGCGTGAGAACGGTGGCGTTGTGTATTACCTCTTATCCTTCCATAAACAAAAGGTCTCCAGCTTCTCCTGAACAGCCCTGTACCTGAGAGAAAACAGTGTATCATTCTTCATTATTGTGGTCGCTAGCCTCCCTCTCATGGTTGCGTCTTCCTATAATTTCACTGACGAAAAAAGACCTTGTTGCAGCTACTACCCAAACTGCCGATCCACGTCCCGATGCCATTCCTTCCCACTATACTTTACCTCTCTCGTGGTAGCTAGGCATACCTCCACGTACGGCAACATCACTGATTTGCTACGCGAAATACAGAACTAATTCTTCTATGCTAATTGCATTTTTAAGAACCCCGGACTATCTACGGTTGAACTCACCGCTCTGCTGCAGCCGTCATGTCCATATTACTAAGTTTATCACAGATGTGCTTTCCTGTCCTTGCTTTTGGCCCCACTGCCAAATTATATTACCTTCATAAAACGTCCAAGAACGCCCTTACCGCCACACGCACCCAAGTGTCACAAAAAGCCTTCCAGCTCCGTGCCAGGTATAAGAGTGCCTTTTAGAGTCACACTGCCTTCCTTGTGTCGATTAGAAGGATCCCAGCAAAGGAACAGGTAGAAGGGTGCATGGCATAAACACTGTCTCCCACGTGCCATATCTGAACAGACCCTGCAGATACCAGGGACGAGTGTCTGATAGTCACACTGTCCATTTTGTGCAGTGATTTGAAAGTCGGAAAAAACTGCTGCCATGAAATTCCAGGAGACAAGGAGTAGTGATAGGAAAGCTGCCAGAAACTTACCTGGGGTCGCGGGCGTGGTGGGGCTGAGCGACGCAGGGGTAGGGGATGCAGGAGTCTGGGTGGCGGTGGAGCCAGAGGGGCGTGGGACACAGGTAGGTCCGCAGAGGTCGCACTCCACGCCCGCCTCCACACCTGTTGGAGATAAAACACTCGTCAACCAGACGGTCTTACTTATACGTTACAAGCCTAGCCTCGTCACCTGACAGAAGTAAATATATAGACAATGGCCAGTGGCGACATCTTTCTGCGCGGATCATTGTATTCGCTAAATGTGTGTGTGCGAGAGCGTCTGTGTCCCTCAGGAGACAATGCTCTCATCATCATACATCTCCATACGCACGTGGACTCTCGTCTGACCAGCCGTCCGCTGCGACAACTTACATTCGCCACTCTACGGGATGCGTGGATACGATATCACTTACATTATTACAATCATTACCTTGCATTCGAAACCGCAGACATGTTAATCGCTTCATGCATAATCTTGAGAATCCAATGCTGGGACTTTCACATTCTGACATGGATTCCTATCGTTCTTCCTGACGCCAACGCTCCTCAGGCTGCAAAAGGGAGTCACGATCGACTTGTAAACTTTTTTTTTATTCATTCCTGCACGGTCTCGCAACTCGATCCACACAATACAAATGTTCATCCTACTCCTTCAGCAGTAATCCATCTGGCAAAATAACTTTCCTCCCGAGATTATAAAACCCAAAAAGAGCTTACACCAACTTACAGTAGGTTTATTTCACGCTATAATTTCCTCTAAATTTCGTTATACCCAAAATCATACATTAGTATTCATGTTGACAAATGTGGAAAGGTATGAATGAGAACGAATATCTTCACAATACAAGAGATATATTTCGGTTTCGATTATATCTTGTATTTCTGACAAAGATATAATCGAAACCGGTTAAATACATCTCTTATATTCTGAAGATATTCGTTCTCATTCATACCTTTCCCCTTTATACATTAGGCCTACATTAGCCCTACCTATACCATACGGATAGCACAATCTTCCAGTATATATTTACAAGCACTGCTATTAATAATCAATGGGGTGAATAATAATAAAATTAATTCTCAAAATAATACAACTGACACTAATCTGTATAACATGAGGGCAACGTAGTCAAGTAGTAACATACTTTGGCGGTGAAAAGCAATAACAACAGTAACAATCAAAGATCAGATCAGCCCCCCAAAAATAAAACCGAATACAAATTGCACCGTCTTGCAGTATAAACTCAATTAGCATTGACATGGGTTCACGTGATTAGCATTGACAGTAAAAAAAAAATCGACATTTTTATGGAGCCAAACATTTCTTCGAAAATGGTCTTTAATTGTCCAAGTTCGTATCATACGTTGGATCTTGGCCAATCAGAGGGCGCGATGGGACGACATAGCCATTTCGCAACAGGTAGTACCATGGGAACTCTAATGGGTATAATCAGGTTTTCACTTGCTGACTTTACGACGTGTTTTTCTCTCGTGTGTGTTTGTGTTTGCTTGTGTTTAATTGTGCGTGTGTGTTAAGTGCACATGTGGTTGTTTATGTGAGTGATATAGTGAAAGTATGAGGGTGTTAACCGTGTCACGGAGAAACCCGCTACAGCTGGGTGAACGTATAAAAGAGTGAACACATGTGAATCAAAATCCCTTCGAAAATCTCAGTGGTTAAAAGGGTTCGCTCTCATGAATAAATCAAACCCGTAAGCAATAATCTGACTCTAATCACAACAATTCAGATGAATATTCAAAACCCCTTAGACCAAATGCAGTCTCTCCTCTACCAAATAAAGGAACATAATGAAAACAAACAAAATGAAACACAGGAGCACTATAATAGCGTGTCAAATGAGCTCCAGTAATGACCTCTCCCCCCCCACCACCCTCACCCCGGCAGCCTGACCCAACCACCTCGGCGACGCGCGCAACAGATCGTAAGCTAAAAGGTCCCAACCGCGCCGCAGATCTTTAACCGCCGTCCTCCGCTACTGTTTAACGAGGCGCGGTCGCCACGGCAAACTGCACCCTCGCCGCTCGTCTGCAGGTCATAAACCGGAGCAACGCCAGCGGCACCCGGGGTTACGGCTCGACTTCCAAGGGGGCGCGGGGGAGGGCGGGTCGACGCAACGGCTAAGTATAATTAAGCTATAAGGAGACACGAGATTACATGGTTGCTGGTGCCTCAGAGGAAAGGCTGGTGGACTTTGCGTTGGATTTGGTTGGCTGGTGGTCGGGTCGGGACAGGGCGCGGACGGGTGCAGGGTTCGAGAGCAAGAGCCATCATGAGATGCGAATAAGACGGATATGGCAGATGCATAGAGAGAGAGAGAGAGAGAGAGAGAGAGAGAGAGAGAGAGAGAGAGAGAGAGAGAGAGAGAGAGAGAGAGAGAGAGAGAGAGAGAGAGATAATATCAAATTACACAGTAAATCACCAAGATCCCTTGTGAGCGAAAATTAAGAAATAAATAGAAATGCGAGATGGCAAAAACAAAGGAACAAACAAAAACAACGTACGAGAAAGTGTTAATGCGTTGGCTGATGAAAAGGGCCAAGCACCCCCACGAACACGCTCATAAGCCTTAAGTAAATAATTATAATGCCTCTGAACTGGTAC